GTATCTATATAGATTTTTTTTTTTTCCCTTGAGTTTGTTATCATTAGTTGAATTTCATTATTCGAGTTTGTGCTAATTCTTTTGCCTGATTGCAGACTTTTTTTATTTTCTTTAGAGAGTTTATTTTTTGGTAGGTAATGTAGAGTGGCAATTGACATCTGCGCCCATGTATGTTATATTCACATAGATAATAGTCGTAATATGAATATAATTTTGGATTTGCGATGAGTTAGATGTTGTGTATATGCTCTCCAGGTAAGGTCGGTTAAGTTTACTGATTCACACACACACAGAGGTGAACTGCGTATAAGAATTTTGTATTGTTTTTCTGCAAAATCATTGCATATGAATGTTTTGGTTGTGTGAAAAACATAAATTGTTGAAAGCTGCAGGGGTGGTCGAGCAAATATTTAGGGTGTTCTTGATCATCCAGCTCTTTTAATATATTGTTTGGCAAATAAATATTTATTTTTACTGCATTTTCTGTCGGACTTGCATTTTTCCTATGTTTGTGTGTATGAGTCTTGACCCATGAATACATATTTGTTCCTGGATGTGTACGCAAAAGAAGAGACCATGCCTGTGCATGTGAACCTGTCCGTTTTTCCTAAAAGACTACTACATCCAGTCCTGAAAGTAAGAGTTAGATAACTAATTGAACATATTAAGTATATTAATTTAGTTATTTACCCAAAAACAAAAAAAAGTGTATTGGCTCCTCTAAAATATTCCTCAGTTTATTCATTTCTATTGGAACTACTTCTATTGATGTGTGCAATCAATAAAGATAATTTTTAATATATATATATATATAGCAAGGCAAAGGAGATCAAAGTTTTACATTTAAGATCGAAACAAACTCTTCATCTAGCTCCTACTTTGAGGACCGGAGGGAGTATTATTTACCATAGGGTTAAATAGACCTACATTAATTTGATAAACGTTTTAACCACCTTAGTTTTGTTGCCTATCAATGGTTTGTATCATACCTTGATAATACAGTTTTTTTCCTTTCTTTTTTTTTCAGTTATGGATTCCTTTTCTTGTCTCATATCGCTGAAGATATAACTGATTCTCCTACATTCTCAGGTGATGGATTCTTCCGCTACCTTTTCTATTCTCAGTAGACATTAACCCTTGTTTTATATTTTCATTTATCTAAGGCTTTTGTCCATGATTTGGTTCTAGACGGTGTTCCAAAGGAAGGACTTAGAATACATGATGTATTAGTGAGGATTGCAGTTCTTCTCTTGATAAGGGACAAGGTAAGTTCTTCAAAGCAACTTTCTTTATGCTCATCTGCTTGTTATAGTCTTATTATGCTCAAGCTCAACCACGCTTGTGATTTCATTTCTATGAGAGAGTCGTTCCTTCTATTAGAGTTTTTTCCTTTCTTTATTGGGGGAAACAGTTTCTTTGGTGTTAATTTTCTTGAAGATGATGCTGGTTTTCCCCCTGGGGATGTGGAATGACAGGTGAAGTTTGCATCAGAGAAGGATCCTGGAACTTTGCTTTACACAGATGACATCTTGTTGCGGTATCCTGGTTTAAAGGGTGGAAAGATATGGAAGGAGGAGCATGATATAGTGTTACTGCGTGCTGTGTTGAAGTAAGTTACTTCATTTTTATATTCAACGGAAGTTGCATTACGTAGGCAGCAAAATAAGTGTTCTGTTTATTGTCTGATTTCTTGAACAGTGTTCATGATCTCCTGATGGCAAGGTGGGAAAGATATGTAGCCATGAAATAGGGACTAAGTGAAACAAAATTGACTGTGTGGTAGAGTTGTGGAAACACCTGTTTCTTCCATATTTTGGACCTTAGCTCCATGGAGCAATATGCTATTGCAGAAACATGGAAGAATTGAAATCTTAGATCAAAACATTATGTATGAGTGTTATGAATTGCCTAAACAAGAATTCTTGAAGAGCAAATAACCAGAGCTATTACTCACTACATCAAAAAATTTCCACTAATGACATATGTAAATCCATTGGAAAATCAATCGGTTTGCGTACATATTAATTCTTTGGTATGTTCATTAAAGAAAACTCTTTCTTTCTTTCTTCTTCTTCTTTTGAAGGCATGGATATGGAAGGTGGCAAGCAATTGTGGATGATAAGGATCTAAAGATTCAGGAGGTCATCTGTCAGGAGTTGAATCTTCCCATGGTAAATCTACCATTACCAGGACAAGTTAGTACCCAGACACAAAATGGTGCAAATTCAACAAACGTAGAAGCACTGGCCAACCAATCTGGGGAAAATGGTGGGAATGGTATGGTAGCTGATGGTGCACCTGGTTCTGGTGATGCTAGGAACCAAACACAGCTATATCAAGAGTCTTCAATATTATATCATTTTAGAGACATGCAGAGAAGACAGGTTGAGTTTGTAAAAAAGAGGGTTCTTCTGTTGGAAAAAGGGCTCTATGCTGAGTACCAGAAAGAATACTTCGTAAGTTTTTTATGTTTCAGAGTGTATAAATTATTTTATTATTTGATATTTGATATTTTACTTTTAGAATGTATAGGTGAAAGTGTAGAGCAAAGCTAATTATGTTGCCTCTTTAGATGCTACAAAATTTGTCACTTCAAAAGCTAATAGTTTAATATTTCTTGGGTCTTACTTTTCATTGTGGTTGAGAGATGGTTTTTCGTTCTTGTGTTTTTCCCTCTTTGGATGGTGGGGCCAGGAGTGTTGTGGTTTGAAAAATAAATCAATTGAGAGGTCATGGATGGAGAATAAAAGTGCCAGCTCCGCCGAGCATTCTAATGGCCAATGCCCCTGCAATCAGAACGGAAACACTCGCCACATCTCCTTTCTAACTATTACACTTCTGGCATGAACTATATACTTAAACTTTCATGCAATCATTCGTATTTTAGGTTCTATTTGGAATTAATTATGTGTAGGTCTTTATCTAAAAATGAAGATATAGTTGATGCTGTATGTTATACAATATTGTGACGCGTATGATTTGTTTCTAACGAACTCTGGTTATGTATTGCCATTTTTTCACTACGAACTCTGTTTGCAGGGTGACCATAATACAAATGAAGCCATGAATGTAGAATTTAAAAATGAAACAAAGGATTCAAATGTTCCAAGTTATAAATCAGGGGAGATTGACAGGAAAATGATTGATCAACTGCCTCAATTAGAAGAAATAGGTATGATTGTATTGTTGTCCATTAATAGCTGTCTCATGGTGACTGCAATTGCCGAATTTGTGTTCAGTTATGAATCTGAAGTTGTGTCTTTTTTGTCATTCTTTATTTATCTAATCATTTTCTTGTAATCGTTCTCTTTTTTTCCCCACAACTTTATTCACTTGAAAACCATTTTTCATTTCCTTTTGCTACTCACGCATGAAAAAATATGAGATGCATAAATTAATTTTGGGGCTGATATTTTGTGCAGCTCCTGAAGAATTTTCGGCTGCTGCTTGTGATAGTGATCCAAATCGATCGGAATTGGTTCGACTTTACAATGAGGTATAGATACTGCATTGCAAACTCTTTACAAGCTGCTAAATAATGCAATGGAGGAGACAGAATGGTAGGGAAAAGATTCTACGCTGACTATCTGCATCAATTATCCCTCTTTATTGGCAGATGTGCAGGGTTGCGGAGGAAGACACCATTGAATTGGCTGGAGGACCAGTTGATGTCAGTATGAAGAACTTGCCTACCCTGGAAACTGTTTGTGAAGACATCAATAAAATTCTGTCACCCACTAAGCAAGATGATGGCCCTGCGGAAATGCCAATACCCAGTCCAGGTATCAAATCAGAGGCTTTATCGGAGAGTGAAGTTGCTAGCGCCAAATTGCCCTCAACTCCTCAAGATGACTGCAAACCTGACAATGTAGTAGTAAACAATGAGAGAAAAGATGTGGTGATAGCGTCCGATGGAAAAGAGAGCGAATCAGAGACGAGGGGAGGTGATGTTGAAATGGGCGAAGCCGGCAATGATGCTGCGTTGGATGAAAAGATGGATGAATAGACCATAGTCTGTTATACGTTGTCAGCGTAGCATTCTTGTTAGTTTTATAAAATATAGGCAAATTATGATGGTGTTTTCTAAGCTTTATCTTCAAGTGTAAGAGCCCCAGGATGGAGGCAATGCTCGTGGATCTTGTTTATGTTGTACTTACTAGTTACTAGAATATCCCTTATTAATTGTACTGAGGGGGAGAAAAGCTCATATGTTTGGCGCTAGTGCTATATAAATGTGCTTGCTTTTTTTTTTTTTTTGGGATGAAAATGTGCTTGTTTTTAATCAAAACTAATTATGTGAATTTTTGATATATTGTTTATTTTATAAAAACTCATAATATTAATATTAATGTTTTAAAATTCACTTGTTAAGATTTGATTTTCAAAAAAGTATACTGAGCACACAAAGTTGGGCATTTAAGTTCCGTCCTTAAGCATTGCATGTCATGATCTTCGTGGCAGTTTCGGTACTTTAATCTTTCGGTTATAAGTTATAACGATGGGGAAAAGGGAATGTAGGAAGAAAACACAAGCGCGCGCACGAACGGGGAGACACGGGGCTGACCGAGCTGGAAAGGTTTCCTTGAATCCTTGCTGCTCTCTTTTGCGCCTGCGTAAGATAGCAAGGATCACAACGGAAATAGTAGAGGCCAAAATTAAAATCCTTTAGAGGATTTTAATTTATGGAGCGTGAATGGCTCACTTGAATTAAATATCAGCACTTGCCTGAATTCGGCCATGGATTAAAGAAAGCAAAAGGGGAGAAGGTGATGTCATGAGATCAGCTTCGATATTTCATAATTTAAACAAGAAAAAGAATAATTAGTTGATATACATACTTGACATGCATGAGAAGTTCTCCCTTTTGTGACAAAAAGACGGCTTAAATTGCCAAAAAGGAAGAAAAAATATTGATTCTTTTGTAATTATTTTTTTACATTCGTTTTTTATAAAAAAAAAAATTGATTTTGTTTAAATCGCGGGAAAATGAAAAGGTAACGGATGAAAGCAGACATATTAGTCATTACAACATCTTTATTTCTGATGCACAGGGCTAAATAAAGCTATTATACAAGCAGTGACTTATTACTATAATAATAAATTCATGTCCTACAATGGGACAACACAATCATTCCCATCTTTGATTCAGCTTAATCATCTTATTTTGTGGATCCCTTCAAAAATTTGCTAGCAAAGCATGTCTCCGCAAACGACATAGTTAACTCCAGAATGGATTGTGGGGCCCACAGCCAACAATGCATTTCCATACAATGAGAAAACACAATCCTGGAAGTAATGATCTAAACAAAGCTAAACTAAACGAAAAAGGACCTTTCCGAGACGAAAGTAGAAACAAAGGGAACAGTGATTTGAACTTCACGCTACAAAACTCAACAAGCACGATGCTTATGCTGCCAAACTTTGCTTCATCAAATAGATGTTCCATCAGTGAAATCATCACACATGAAGTCTTGCTCCTGCATCACACGATCATGGTACAAAACAAACATTCAAAGTATCATCAGTACGCAGATCATTGTACCAGCATTGCAAAATAACATTGCTTAAATCAAATGTTGTTACCTGTTTCATCATTGCACTGACTAAGTCCTCCAATGAACCGACATTATTAGAGATGTGACTCCGTTGTGCCTTATGGGGGTCCATGATATATCCTTGATTTGGTTTCAGAGAGGGATCTCCGGCTGATTTTGTGAACCCCTCATGCTTCATTTCTAAGGGATTGCCAAAACTGTAGTCCAAGTTTCTGTGTAATCCTGGTGCATCAACAGCACCATTTACAGGAATCAAAGAGTCTAATGAATGCTCCTCCCATCCTTGATAAGCCACGTTTACTGTGTTGTTATTAGTGAAAATGGGTCCATGGGATTGCATATCTGCCAATGAATCATGGGTCCTAGTGGATAGTGAAGTGATGGCAGAAGCACCACTTGTACTCCCTCCATGAAGACAATCATTTGTTGGGTAAGAATTAGTGGGCATCCCTGATGACTGCACAGCGCTCGGCCAATTATCATTACACCTACCACTATGATTATCCATCAAAGGCAAAGAGAAGTCTGAATGTTGAGACGCTACTGAAGCAAGATTCTCATATCCTCTCCCACCTTGAGTGTCTTGAGAATTTCGTTCTAACAAGCTGTTGGTCGCGATACCCGCAAGTGGAGATCTAGAGCAACTAGAGTTCACTCTAGCTCTTGGATCAGGCAACTTGTTTGAGATGAGAGACATTGTTTTATCATCAAAACCAGTGGTAGGACCTTGAACAGAACTGACAACCTTATTGGCTTGTAACTGGTCAAGCCCTCCAGAAACTGGCATGCCCTGAAGCGACCCACTATTCTGATTCTGGCTGACATGAGCAATGGATGACTGGAACTTGAGAGGATCATTCATGGAGGAGTTGTTTAAATTCTGCGGATGACCCAACTGAAGAACTCCTGATGATGACAATCCATGAACACCAAGACCAGCAGGAGTGTTCAGTCTTCCAATCATCCCACTATACGGGAGGGACCGATAAACATTGTTCTGAAACTGCCCAGAAGCACTCAGTGGCTGAAGATGTTTCAACCCACCCAGAGATCCCACTCTCAAATAGGATGCATCCGTACTGCCTAAGGCCGCCACCATATTAGCCTGCTGGTTCGCTACACAGCTGATCCTCTTCAGATACAGCCTATATTTCTGCAGTCATCATCACAAAAACCAGCAAGTCTATCTCAATTTAATGAAAACATTTACTACATATAAATTGAGCTAAACCAGAAAGTGTTTGAAAATTGCCTGGAGATGGCTTGCCACGTTCTCCCTTGTGAGTTTCTCAACATTCATCAAATCCAGAATTTTTTTAGGCACGGCCTCTGCAACCAAGATGATTCATAAGATTGTTCATACAAAGCTTGTTAATTGGAGATCAAGATGGAGAATATACATATATATTGATAAAGATTGAAGCACATACTGTCAATGCCTAATTGATTAACAGCAGCAACAAACTTTCTGTGGAGCTCGACAGACCAAACAACACGAGGCTTCTTCTGTGCTGAAGGATCATCGTTGTCATGACCATGCTCATGCTCATCATCATCTTCATCATCCTGATCCTTCCTTTTCTTGGTGATCTTTCCATTTTGATCAGTAGACCCAGCTCCTGCTGAACCTAATCCATTGTTAGCACTACCAGAATGAGGCCTGTCTTGATTGCAAGTACTGTTTTTCTCCTTTGAGTCAAATTTCTTCCTCCTGATCACATGCTGCCAAATGTTCTTTAGCTCCTCAATTCGAACAGGTTTCAGAAGATAGTCGCAAGCCCCATGTGTAATGCCCTTCATCACCAGCTTGGTGTCGCCATTTGCAGACAACACTGAAATCACACGTTTTAATCAAGACCCAACAATGGTAAGGCTGGAAAACTCAAAATATAAAAATCCCAATTTTCAGAAGTCGCCAATAACTGATATAATAATGAGGAAAAGTGTTGAAAAAAATAGTGTACAGCCACGACTTACTTATGACAGGTAGGTCCATCTCGAGACCGACAAGCTCAAGAAGCTTAAATCCGTCCATGTCAGGCATATGAACATCACTAATAACCAGGTCGAACTTGTTTTTGTTTTCTCTTAGCATCTTCAAAGCTGTTATTGCCTGATTGGTCGTTGTTACTGCAAAATTTTCCGCCAAAATTAATAATTAATAAATATCAAAACACAATGTAATTGCAGAATGTCTCAAAAGAAATATTCCAGTCTTTAACATAATCCCAAAAGTCACTCTTAAGCTATTAGATCCTTAATTTAATGAATTCAAACAACATATAACAGATTTAATCACTGAAACCCAGGCAAGAACAAGCCCCCAAAGATGATGAAATGAATTGAAGTTATTGAAATGGAGGGAGTGAGAGTGGGGAAAAATAGATTGAAATTAACCGTCAAAGCCAACAATTGAACCCAATAACTTCGAAAATATAATCAAGCCTGAGCAAGAGATGAAAACTGAAGAAAGAGAGGAAGGATAGTCCGTGTGAAAAGTAGCTGAAACATTCCGTCAGATGTGTCGGTATTCGACAAGTTAAGTGAAGATGAACAGATTTTTTTTTTTTTTAACAGAAACGCTAACGGAATCTCAAAATCTGAAAAAACAAAACACATACGAAAACACAGATCCTTAAGCTTAGAGGGGGAAAAAGGCATCAAAAGCATTGGAAGCAAACCGTGATATTGGCATCTCCGAAGGAGAGTTTCCAACACCAAGAGACAAGTTGGGTCATCGTCAACAGCAAGAACACGCATTCCCACAGGAAATTGTCCTCTGGGTTCATCCGTTCTGGTTTCCACAGTCATTTTCTCGAACAGTTGATGAAAAAGTAAACAACTTTCAATTTAGAATAGAATAATCTCTCGGTTTTCTGGGTCTAAACCAAAACCCAGAATGTTCGCAAAGAAAGAGATACTGAGGAAACGATTTGCAAGGTCTAAGAATAAATCTCGAGTAGAATGAAGAGAAGCACCGTGATGTGGAGGAATAACATATGAAAATTAAACCAAAAAAACAAAAAAGTTAAACTTTCTCTTAACGGGGATATGTAACTGCGGAAAGAGAAAGAGATGGAATCGGTAACTATGTATGCACTGTCCTGTGAAAGCTGATTCAATAGCGCAGAGTGACAGAGATGGACGTTCTTTCTGGTTTTGGCTGGAAGAGGAATTTTCCAGTCCTCTAAGTCTTCAAAGAAAAACAGGAGAACGTGGCCGTGCTTGATGTTACACCAGCTTTTAATAAGTTTTATATTTATAAATATATATATGCACATAAATTTAGATTTCCACCCATGATATAATTTTTTTCCCCAGAAAACTCCATGCATGATATACTTGTGTTACACAACAACGATGAAAAAAAAAAAAAGATCTGTCACCCAAAAAAAAAAAACAAGATCTGAGTGTTATTTTATTAAAAAATTCTGGAGATTCGTATCCCGAAAAGGGCAAAAAAATATATGAGGAGATTGGCGCGTGAAATCAAGCTCCGGCAAGAAAAGTGACATTTGTGCTTTGGACAGTAATTAGATTCAATGATTCAGGAATCAGAGCCGCATCCATCTTTGGAATTAAAATTTTGACTTTGGAAGCACGGCTAACACATTTTACTGCTTCCATATGGCCAAAAAAAAATGTCATTACTGGCATTTGGAGGGCCTTGTTTTAAGCATAGTTAGGGGAAAAATTGTCCATACCCTGAGATTCAGGGCTTTGATCGCCTAGCTATGATTGGGAAGAAATATACCATTCATGTGCAATCTCTGTATTGCTGCACTTGACAGTTTGATGTTGAATTTTGCATTTAAAACTTCTATTTTTCCTGAATACCCGAAGTGCCTAAAATAGCCAGCTTTCTTTTCCAGTTGAAACTGTGCATTTATGTGTCTTCATCAAGTGGATCCATGAGGATCTTGTTGTGGAAGTCGTCCTTTTGAGTTTTGATATATTAGAATCCCGGGCCCTCTGCTCTGAATTTCCATGGAGTACCTGCTTAGCATTTACAGTGACAAATAACATTTAAAATGTTAGTGTTGTGTAAGTGTACTTTATGTATGTGCGTGTCGTGTGTGTTAGTGATTTTATTAGAAGTTGACCGTGGACTTTTCCAACGTGACTGTCATTGTTATAATAATGTTATCAATCTTCTTCTACCTAAAGTTTTCATATCACTTGTCAATTTAGGTTGGTAAAGGAGACCCAGGTCAATGGGAAAATGCATGTACATGAGTTATGATTATGCCAGCGTCAAGTAAAGGTGATATGAAAATAAAAGTTTAAACGTATTATGCAAGTGTTTTGTTAATTTGGTTACTTCTTTTCATTCCGACTTTTGGATAAAAAAAAATTAGAGTTTTGTCGAGAAATAAATTAAAGATTAAGAAAATCTATATTCATAATACTACCTCTGGTCCTAATTTTAAAACATGTTAGTAGTTAATAACAACGCTTTAGATGCTCATAATAAGAATAGATTGGGTATTAACAATTTTTTCCAAATTCCAAATTAGTCCCTTAAAACTGATTTTTTAAATTCAGTGGGGGATTTGAGCATGGAAACTAAATTTAAAAGGGATTTTCGACTGATATGTGTGTGTGTGTGTGTATTGTCTTGCTAAAAAGAAGAAAGAGGCGTACGTGAGAAAACAACAAAATGGATGGGGTGCAGGCGGCCAATGTATTGACTATTGAGCACGCTGGCTTTAGGGGCCCTTCGAGACAGATGTCCGTACCCTTTTAAGGGGAAAAAAAATCATATAAAAAAATGAAGAGTTAATTAAAAAGAAAATTAAATAAGAAGGGGGCTGCGACGATAGGGTGAGGAGTGAGGAGTGAGGGGATAAAAAGGCGCCTCAATGTGAACGGTGCGCCCCCAATATCTGCTAAACTCAACGCCCGCATCTCTAAGTGACACATACGTAGAAACCCACTTCCTCCGTAGTCACACCTCTATCATCACCATCTAGTCTTTTTTATGCTAAATGTAAGAATAAGATTCATTCCTATAGTATAAATTATACTCCTCCGCTCCTTAATATAGGATCCAATTGTTGAGTTGATTTTGGTCCTAAATATAAGACCCATTTATCATATTTATCAATTTTTTCTAAATTACCCTTATGGATACTCCCTCAACCATAATCAAATAGAAGAAGAAGAAGGGGTATTAAGAAAGATGATTATGGTATTTTAGAAAAAATATGTCACATTTCTTATAATTAACTAACTTACCTAACTTTCTTAATCTAATCAAATTAGTTAAATGGATCTTATATTAAAGATCGGAGGAGTATTATAATTTAAATCTTATATTTAGGATGGAAGTAACGTATTCCAATCCAAAAAAAATAAAAGTAATAATAGCACTGCAATTTAAGACCTCATTGTCAATCTGTCATAATCCTTTTTATTATAATCAATATATACGTACATTTGTTTCTATATACTACTTCCGATCCTAAATATAAAAACTAATTGATTAATTTGAATATATCAGAAAAATAAGTCAAGTTAGTTATTTATAGTAAATAGATGTTTTTTTTTCTAAAATATTTCTGCTAATCAAGTTTATTAACTAGAATTATCATTATTAGAAGGACTATCTTGAAGAAAAAATAGTTAAATATGAAAAGAAAAATTAATGAGAATCTTATATTTAGAATCAAAATAAAAATTAAACAATACTACCTCCGGTCCTAATTATAAGAGTTAGTTGACTAATTTGAGGGGATCAAGGAAAAAAGTAAAGTTAGTTATTTATAATAAATATGTATTGTCTTTCCTAAAATATCCTTGCCAATCAAGTATATTGGCTAGAACTATCATTATTAGAAGGACTACCTTGAAAAAAAATACACAAACATGAGAGATAAAGTGGATTGGGATCTTATATTTAGAACCAAAATAAAAGTCAAAGAAGATTTTATATTAAGAACCGGAGGTAGTATCTTATACTACCTCCGGCCCTAATTATAAGAGTTAGTTGACTAGTTTGAGGAAATTAAGGAAACAAGTTAAATTAGTTATTTGTAATAGATAAGTGTTGTTTTTCCTAAAATATCTTTACTAATCAAGTGTATTGGTTAAAGCTACCATTGTTAAAAAGACTTTCTTAAAAAAAATACATAAATATTAAAAAAAAGTAAATTAAAATTTTATATTTAAGATTAAAATAAAAATTAAACAAGACTTTATATCCCTTCCTCTGCTTCAAAGTCCAAACTTTTCATATTATAAAAAGGATCACTCCCCTTTTTCTTGCTATTATGATTCAGATCGAGATTTTGGCATCATGTAGGCCCCACCTCCCCGGTCTCCACCTCATTAATTACTTAATCCACGCACACATTAACGTTGACCCACCATCACAGTTATATTTAATACCCCCTCGCTTGCTTCCTCAATCTCTGCCAGTTCACAACATACCTCCTGTGTTTTCTGTTTTCCGACCCCAAACCAAAAAGAAGAAGAAGAGTATAACAGATTTACAACTCGATCTCTCTCCGCTTTTTGCGTTGATCATTCCTTACACAGGCAAGGTTATTTAGTCGATCGAGTTGAAATATCCCAAGTCAGGGCCTTGGATTTAGAGGCTGAGTTCCAATGGGATGGCACATATGTGAAGTGAAATCTTAATATCTATTATGGATGGCTCATCAAGATAAGAACAAACCTTTGTGGTGCTTCCTAATGAATGGATGGGTTTGTACGGAGGGAGATATAATCAAATAATAATGAGGAGGAGGGAGATCCTGTAATCATGCGTGACATTTGTCCTCCATTTAAAAATAATTTACCCAAATGAATGGTGGCCTTTATTTTTATCCAATCACACAATATCAAGGGCCTTTTAATTAAATATGGCCCCATCGAGCATCCACTACGAGAGAGGACGACGCAGAGCTGGCTGGGTGGAAGTGGAAATGAAGGAATATAGAAAGACAGGGCTGCTTTTAACATCACATGTTGGAGGATCGTGACGCATAGGAAACAAGATCCCAATATGACCTGATTATTGATAATAATAATAATAACAATAATGTGATTTATTATTATGTAAAACCAACATCATTGACCCTCCACTTATGATTCATTCTGCATTAATTAATTATATGTTCCAGATCCTCTATCGCCACCATATCTTGCGATTCCTTCCATATGTTCTCATCACTCACATGACTTCCCTCCCTTCCCTTTCCCCCACAAACAACGAATATCCATCCCTCTCTCATCTGTATGCTGCATCTATGATCTAAATTTAGCACTCCTCATCTGTTTCTTAATATAGAACCTAATTGTTAAGTTAATTTTATCCTAAATATAAAATATATTTCTTATATTTATTAATTTTTCTAAATTATCCCTATGGATACTCTCTCAATCATAATCAAGTAAGTAAAAGATGGAGGATATTAAAAAAACGATTATGATGTTTTAGAAAAAATATGTCATATTTCTTATAATTAATTAACTCACTTAACTTTTTTAATCTAATCAAATTAATTAAATAGGTTTTGTGTTAAGAATAAAAGAGTATTGAAATACAATATCACGAGAAACGCGATTGGTCTTCCTTGTAATTTTGGGCACAAGTTATGTAACGAGCCCAGTCACTATTCTTTCGGCCGAAGAAAATGAAAAAGGAAAGTCCAAACCAACGGAGATTATAAGTTGATTTTGGACCAAATTCCATTTCTTTTCTTCCTTTCCGCCGTTTATACCGTATTACGGACAACACATGCCAGCGTGATGAAACTTTCAGTCCGTCGTTTATTCGAGGCCCATAACTACAGAAACTGGGCCTGCAGATTTGGGCCTGCCCCATTTTCAGATAATCCTTTGTGTTTAGCGCATAACTAACCCTTGTTATTATCTAACTGCCCCACCTATGCGTGGATTTATTTACCAATTGTTTGTCGTATAACTAAGCCTTGTTGTTACTGTTTCTATTACTAACTTACTATCATTTTTATTTTAAATTTATATTTAAATTCAACATCCATTTATTTTGATTTGATTAAATATAGATACTATAAGTACTTGGGTTTAGGTATGATAGGGAATACTAATTTTTTAAAAAGTTATTGTTGTTTTGAGAAAGAAATGATAATCACTTAATAAAACATATTAAAAACAGAGTGAGATATAATATTATGGCTGGGATAGATAATCCTCCTCCGATCCTTAATATAGGACCCAGTTCTTGAGTTGGTTTTGGTCCTAAATATAAGATTCATTTCTCATATTTATCAATTTTTTATAAATTACTCCTATGGATACTCTCTCAAATATAATCAAATAGAAGAGGGAGAAGGGGTATTAAAGAGGATAATTATGGTGTTTTAGAAAAAATGTGTCACTTTTCTTAAAATTAACTAACCTACCTAACTTCCTTAATCTAATCAAATTAATTAAACGGGTCTTATATTAAGAAACGGAGGAGTAGTAGTGTAGAAGCAGTCACGCGACATTATCTTAATTAATTAGGCTTGTTAGTGGAGCTCGCCCCTTTTGACCATGACCAGCACATATACCACATTATAATATCATTTGAGGCTTTCCGCTTCACACTTGTTCCTGCAAGTTTCCCAAGGCTGTGTTTAATCGTCTTTCTTTTCTCTCTTTTAATCAATTACTACCCCTATTACACGTCATTAATTACAAATATTACCTCTAGTCTTTAACATAAGATATAGATTGTAGTGTAATTTACACTGCAAACTAAATTTTATATATAGGATCAGAGTAGTGTGTATCAAAACTGCTGTATTAATTATATATACATATCAGAAGATTCAAATAGGATCAAAAGTATCTTCTAAAATAATAAGGAGAATGGTAGGTTTATCGTTGATTCTGTGAGTTTTGCTTGATCCAGATATCAACTACTTTAATTTCAGGATCTATTTTAATCAGAATTAACACGTAGTGTACGTAATCAACACGTATGCAATTATTTTGCGTGTTTTCTTCCTACAAGTTTATGTAAAATTTGAACTATAGATCGCATCATTTATTCCCTGATATGAATAACGTGACTTATTATTGTTGTTATTGTCATGACGGCACATAATTGTTGATATGAAGGAATAGCAGCTAGCTAGCTAGCCGCCTTTGATGTTTACCCATTAAACGCTACTTGTGGATTTTTATCTGCGTTGCAACAATAGACAGAGATTTTGGATAAAATTACCAACAAATGAAGAAAATAAAGAAAGAAATTATAGGAGGTTTTATTTCCAATTCCTGCGCCTCCATGATAAATTATTGGAATAATAATGCAAAGAATTAATTGACATAGAAAAGTCAACCATTTGATACTGCGATAACACGCAAACAAATTAAAGGAGATTGCTAAACTGATCTCCTGGTCTTTTCGTTATGATAAACTATTTTAACATGCAAAGAAAAAGGAACAAAAGGAGGGGGAAGCAAATTAAACTACATTCACACACACACACATATACACCGAATCCTAATGTGTCACTGTATTTTCATGATAAGCTTTTTACATCTTCTGGGATGAAAAACTGCAAAACAACAGAAAAAAAAAAATCCTTGGCCATGTTTAGACGCCATATATAGCGTGCTGATAAGTAAGGCTCCTGCAAAAGCCATGATTTTTCATTTTTCATTTTACGAATTCTTTTGAGTATAAAACCATGTCGTTGCCTAGATATGATCAAGATTGACCGGCAAATGCTCTGTTTTTTTCTTATTAATAATTATCTGTTCATCAATGTAATATCTGGGAAAAAAAGAAACAATCGCGGCAGAAGATTTTCATTTTTTGTGCTTTGATGTGAATGAATAAAATGCAAAGGGCTAACCCAACAGATTGTGAAGTTTACATTGTTTCAACTTTGATGAGAAAATGACAGAAAAATGATTCATAAATTTTAAAATTCTCAAATGGTCATCTAAATAAGTAAAATTATGAGAGTTCTTAATATCGTTACATGATTTGTAATTGGGTTACTGAAATTGTAAAAATCTTACTTTTTGAATTCTCAAAAAATTGTTGTTGAATGTTATATCGAACTTGTTAATAGTATTGCAGAACTTGTTAACCACATTACTGAAGTTGTAAAAATGTCACTTTTTGAATTTTTTGAAATACTTGTTGTTAACTGTTATACCGAACTTATTAATCGCATTATTGGACTTAAAAAAATCTCCAAAAAAATAGTTTCCAGCCACCGGCAATGACCATTGACGCACCTAAATTCTAACGGCTGTCACTGACACCGAAGCTCTCCAACCGATGAGAATGTTTGGTTTTTTTAAAAAAATATAAGGCAATATGGTCATTTTAGCAAATTTACAAATGTCAATTTGGTCTCTTATACTTAAATTGAAATTTTGCTTATTTTGATAACCATCTGGGGATTTCATTATTTAACTATCATTTTTCAGTCCTTTTTTTTCATTTAAAAATGTAAGAATAAATTCGCCAAACCAGCCCCAAACTCTTTCTTAATTAAAGACCCCCTTTTTATCAATTATTTACAATTTTGGATCATTTTTAAGGTTGGCAAGGAATAAAAAGGGATCCAGAAGGTTCTTTGACTTTTGACTTAGATGAAATATATATGATACTCCTCCGATCCTTATTATAAGACCCTATTTGACTTTTTATTTGGTCCTAATTATAAGACCCCAATCCATTTTGTCTTTATATTTATGCATTTTTTTCCAGATAATCCTTCTAATAATGATAGTTTTAGCCAATATACTTAATTAGCAAGGATATTTTAGGAATGACAACACTTATTTATTATAAATAACCAACTTAACTTACTTCCTTAATCTCCTCAAATAAGTCAATTGGGTCTTATAATTAGGACCGGAGGAGTACAAAAAATTTCTCTCACAATTAAGTATGACTAGATGTGGTGCAATGAAGTTAAATAACCTGTAACGAAGGGAATTAAACGTTGAAGTTGCTGCTCGGGTGTGTTGAGAGCTGGATAAAGATAATCATTTCTAGAGATTTGTATGAAGAACGTATCATTTTTCATTAAAAAAAAATTAGACATTCCATCTTCTGAAACCAATGCTCTTGATGTAATTTGACGCGCAATAATTTTTATGTATCTATTATGGATCTGCACCCCGGAAAGGATAAACCTTTTGAATCTTATTAACTAAAGAAACACGACTTTAACGTAACCCAAGCATACCACAACATGGAAGGACACTTTAAATAAATCGATTCTGTAGGATGTAAGCGCGATGGTTAATTTGGTTTCAGAAAAGGAAAAAATAAAATCGATTCAGTTTTACGAACACAGTATCAATTATATGTATGTCACGCCTTCTCTTATTACTGCTTGTAAAGAAAACACGGCATAATCAGTCCCAAATTATAAAATCAATCAATGCATTAATCATATTAGCTGCTGGTTAAGTTAAACGAGGTACGACGAAGTTGTCTTGAAAAAAACAAAGAAGAGAACAGAACGGAAAATCATTACCAAAAACATGCATTAATCTATACATCGGACAATATGTCAGTTGGAATATCTAAAGCTTGTAACTGAAACCTAGATTTGAGTTAGCCATATATAGATAGATGCTTTTCCTCTCCTCTCCGACGACGTCCATGAACAAGAAAATAAAAACAGGCACGTGCCTCTTGTCATGATCAATATCCATCCCAGGTTTATGTATTTTTACAGGTATATATATCATTATTCACAACACTAAGCTCTGGGACATCGTGATATATATATATATATATATATATATATAGTCTAAACATACAATCTGCAGGGGCTTAACAGCTCGTAATCCGCAGTACCAGTATGGTTAGAAAGATTGGAAAGAGGACTGTGCATCAGTGAGTTTGGATAACTCTTAGGATGAAAGGAGCAAGCCCATGACGCAGAACTCATCTTATCTTCTTCCATCTCTATCTCCATCTCCGCCACAGCGTCGCAGAAGAGATTAACATCACAAGGAAGCCTAATAGGCCCATCGTTTCTGAATCCATACTCGCTCTCTGCGTCATCCAGAAGCTCCTTGAACACTGGGTGATTAGCTAGCTCTATCTTCACCAAGAATCTCTCTCTCTGGGGTCCCACATACACCCAGAAGCATCCCTCCGGAGCCATCTGCTTCTTCTTATTTTGTTTCTTTCCCAAGGATTCTCGAACCATGGAGACTATGTTGGAGCTGCGACGTCGTCTGCTTCCCCCTCTGCATCGCTTGCATCGCCCCCAAACACTCTTGCACTTCTCCTTCACGCTCTCCATAACTAGTTCCATCCCTTGATCGCAGCTAGCGACTGTATGAGACCTGTGTTTCTGGGATCAAGAGGTGGACTTGATAGAGAACATGGACAGAGACATGGCGGTTAGGGTTTCTTTTGGTGGGGATGGGTGGGAACTTTTGGAGGAGATGAAAGAGGAAGAGAGAGGCGTGTATATAATATGGAGGGATTTTGACTGCTTGCTTTCTATCTCAGCATGGTCGTCTGAGTCTAAGCCTCACGAATTGACGACCTCTTAAATTATTATTATTCTGTTTAATTATAAACGCCGTTTGATTTTGAACGAACGAGTTCAACATTGAAGAAAGTGCAATATCCTAGTTTAATTTATCAATAGTTTACATAATTTAACAAGGCCAATTAATTATATAAGGGGGTTTATTGATTTAGTTGGAAATATTACTATAATTATACTTATAACACTACGTATTTATGCATCATGTCAAATATCTGTATATCACGAGGGGGCTTTTTCTGCAGAAATTAATTGTAGTATTGACGATGGAAGTGATTAGCAATGTGACTTTGCAACGGGGGCAGAAGAAAAATGGAACCCACAGTCGTCATTCACTGTTAATTTTCGCTCCTTTCAGACCAAAACTACGATATTGCGTCACTTAATGAAACTTAATCCAATGCATGCATCTAATTAAGTTTCAAAAGCGGAACCATAAATAAAATAAATAATTTCTCCTTTTGCCGCAATTTACTAACTTTCAACGTTAAGAGCGGCTCCCTCATTTCTCCAGTCAATCATTCCATGCAATATGCATCTAATTCCCCGTCAGTCACAAAGGGACCTACACAATATATCAACTCGATCAGATAATTTTTAGAAAAATTGGAGAAATTTTCTAATTGAAATTTTTATTAATAAAAAAGGGAACTATGCAAAATGTGCAGAAATAAAATGCGTATTTTCTGTTGGTAAAAACTTATGTCTACTTTTTACTAATCAAATTTTCAACGGAATTTTTTTTTGGGACAGAAACAAGTGGTTTACAATAATACAAAGTTCGGTGCGGACATAAGGAGTCATCAATTATCATTACCAAATGCATATCCGCGGACCGGCAATGGGGCCCGCCACGTGCCCGTCGGTTTTGAAAGTGTTAAGGAGATCAGTTATTGACTCCTTAGGATTTTTCTTTCTTTTTTTTTAATGAAAAGGATGCGTTGAACATTTCAATCAATGCATACATCCGCTGTTGAAAAGGAAAATACCTCTGCTTCAGATCATCGTGTTTTAGTTGTATTTTATTTTTAGTCTCTCAGATTTATTTTTTATGTTTTCCTGTCCTTTTTATTTGTTGTATCCAAAATATTAATTCATATAATTTAAAAATACTTAGAAAGATTCCTATCACACCCAATCAATGTTAACTTTGATATAAAGTCAGCTTCCTACCAAAATTTTGATCTGATAATGAAGCAAGCATTTCCTTTTCAAGTCATCACATTGTTTTTTCCTAATCATGATGTTTAACGGTGTCAGATTTGTGCACGTCAGTCAAATTGACAACGTTTGCGCTAACTAGACTAGATCATCGTCCTTTTTAAAAGGACTGGCATTTCACGCAAAGCAAATAAACTGTCTCAAAGACTAATGAAATAAACTATAAATACAGGAAAGTAAATCCTATTAAATATAAAGACCTGATATGTTTTCCCATTAATTAATAATTAGTTTCTCCAATGTCACAATGTTCGCCCAATATTTCCACAAACTGACAAAGCAAGCATGTTTAAATATTTAATAATTTATTTTTAATCGGACTGAAGTGACGTGTCGGTCAAAAGAAGGGTAGCAGCTAGAACATAGAAACTCCATTAGGCAGGCACACAATGGCATGGAATGTTGGATTGTACAAACTAATGCCTCACACACACCCATGATTTATTTGGCGCAAGTAATAAATTGCATTAGCTTCATAATACTTATATACATTAAAATGATGAATAATTCAAGAAAAAAATTGAAAATAAATCTCTTATTACAAATTTAATTTCTAAGTAGCCCTTAGAACAGTTGATTGTATAAGAAAATACTAGTTACATACAAAGAAAAGTAAGTTAATTACACACACAAAAAAGATAGCTTGCACAAAACATTATTTAGATTTAAGGGATTACTTTATACACAGGGAAGATAACTTCCAGAATTTTATTTGCATAAAGAAAAATTGAGTTGCACGTTGCATAAAATAAAATTATTACATATAAGGGAAGATAAATCAGACACAGAGAAAATTAAGTTGTACACAATAAAAGTTAAGTTGTACAAAATCTTTTAATCCCATTTACCATCAGTGGGAGATTTATCCCCAGTTTCTCATAATTCAATTCAGTTTATCAGAGTTACTTAGAACTTGATAAAAATTTATTACATATGCAGTCTTATTATTCTATCATTCAAACCAGCCATTTTCTCTTTACACTAATTAGTAATTACTTGATATCACCTTGTATAGTATTTTTTTGGTTCTAAGAGTAAGACTCTTATTGTCATGCAAATTATATTACAAAATAAATTTTATATTTAAAATTAAAAAGATATCTTGTTTGAGCGAACGATATTGGTCAAACGCTGCAGTAAATCATTATTGGCTACTTTTCGCTCGCTATTGCCAAGCTGACAGGTACTATTATTGTCACTATCACCCATCATTTATTATGATAATAGTCTTGCTTGAATTCATGATCAATAAACATGTTTATCTGTAAATCGAAATAAAACTTACCTTATATACTTATTCTGTGTTACGAAAATTAAGATCAAAAAGTCCACATATAAGTGATTTCAAACATTCCGTGTATATCAGAACGTTTTGGTGAACCAAAAGATTTGAACATTAAACTAGCAAGAAACTCCTCTGCACAATTATTGAACTCCATACGCGTCATTCATTGAATAAACTATCAAAATTCTAATGCACTGTCATCTCTTTCCCTTGCCAAAACAATACACCGTATAAATTCAAATAATACTACTTCCGCTTTTCAATATAAAGGCTAGTTGACTAATTTGAGTAGATTAAGAAAATTAGTTTAATTATTTGTAATAAATAGGTTTTGTTTTTCCTAAAATATCTTTACTAATTAAGTGCACTGGTTAGAACTACCATCATTACAAGGATTATATTGGGAAAAATAAATAAATATGAGAGACAAATAGATTTAGGTCTTATATTTAGGACCAAAATAAAGTCAAATAAGTTATTATATTAAGAACCGAAAGTAGTATAAGATTTAGTTTTTCGTTTAAATTGAACTATACAGATTAGCTATCATAAATATAGAAAGTACGTAGAAGTAAATAAATTAAGGCGTGCTCCGGTAAATAAATAAATAAATTAAGGCGTGCAGGACGTAACAGTTTAGATTCGATCAAAGTAGGAGGGGGAGAAATAATAATAATAATAACAACAACGATAATAATCTCCTCCTTAATATAAAACTTATTTAAGTAATTTGATTAGATTAAAAAAGTTAGGTAAGTTAGTTAATTATAAGAAATGTGATACATTTTTCTTAAAAAACCATGATAATCCTTTTTAATACTTTTTCTCCCTTTTTTACTTGATTATGGTTGAAGGAGCATTAATAGAAGTAATTTAGAGAAAATTGATAAATATAAGAAATGAGTCTTATACTCCTCCGGTCCTAATTATAAGACCCAATTGACTTATTTGAGGAGATTAAAGAAGTAAGTTAAGTTGGTTATTTATAATAAATAAGTGTTGTCATTCCTAAAATATCCTTGCTAATTAAGTATATTGGCTAAAACTATCATTATTAGAAGGATTATCTTGGAAAAAAATACATAAATATAAGAGACAAAATGGATTGGGTCTTATAATTAGGACCAAATAAAAAGTCAAATCGAGTCTTATAATAAGAACCGGAAGAGTATTTAAAACCGAAACCAATTCAATAATTAGGTTTTATATTAAAAATTGGAGGGGTAATATACTGCAGGGGCCTTCAGGTTTAGAACGGGGACTATTGATATTGATTGGTCAAATTAGTCGCATTAATCACTGCGCCTACTTGTCAATGCATACACATTACGAAAGATGAGGCTTCGACTATTATCACGTCAACGGCGTAACTCTTCCCCAGTTCCCCATTCCTTTCCAGCTTTTCCTTCTCACGTCACTTTTTGAAATCATTTTTCAAATTAAACATATCTCTTAATTAATTAGATTAATTAAAAACTCAATTATAATTTATTAACGTGATTGTACATATCAGACTACCTAGGATCATATATTGAAATTATATTTTACACACAAACATTAGGGCTAAATTGAAAATTATAGCTATTTTCGTAATTTTAGAAAAAAAATGTTCAAACACGTTAGAGAAAAACTAGATTCAGGTTTCCAACGTTACCATGAGTCTAAATTCGAAAGCATGTAGTGATTGATGCATAAATATACATATTAAGAATAGTATTAATAACTTATAAATATTGTGACTTTCTATATATAAATTTTGATACACACATGTCGTCAGACATTAGGAAAAAAGATTGTTAGACTCCGTTTTTTAACGGGAAGAAAATAAAATAAAGGCTGTGTGTATTTAAAGCAAAATGAAAATTAAAATGTTGAAATCGAAATACAGAGCAAACCGCCTTTGACTTTTGGATCATCGTGTCCATCAAATGACAATTAAAATTTTATCCTCTATATTTGAAACTTTCTTTCCATATTCTCTGGACTCAGTTTTTTCCCCCTCAAGTTCCATTAGAGCTAGCTGTAAAAATGTAATAAAATGATTGACGTAATTTTTCTTAATAATACCTAAATATTATACTCCTCCGGTCCTAATTATAAGACCCAATTGACTTATTTGAGGAGATTAAGGAAGTAAGTTAAGTTGGTTATTTATAATAAATAAGTGTTGTTATTCCTAAAATATCCTTGCTAATTAAGTATATTGGCTAAAACTATCATTATTAGAAGGATTATCTTGGAAAAAATACATAAA